GTAATGGCGGTATGAGCAGTCACGTCAGTTCGCCATCCTCGTCGTTCTCCGGACCTCTGGCCCTCATGCAGAGTACCGTCACGTCTTGTTATGCTGCTCTGCAGTGTTGGGTAAGTCTATGGAGAAACGCTACCGTGCCTTCCCAAGTTACTGTTAACACGAGAAGAGGTAAAAAATGCTGAAGTTGAAAATGAGAATGAGCCAGCAGTAATCACTGCGGCAAATCCATGCCGGTTCCTTTTTTTTCTTCTCCTCCCCTTCTCCCTTCCTTGCCGTGGTTGGCTAACACCCTCTTAACCCTCTTAACATTTGCTCTTTGTATTGGCCGGTGTTCTCACTGTGCTATGAGATGCTGTAATAAATAAATAAATAAATAAATAAATAAATAAATCAAATAAAAATTCAGGGAATGGAAAAATGAAATAATTTAAAAAATAAAATAATTTTTCCATCCTGTGGAACATCAGCACGGCGTGGCTCTATACATGTACATTGTATGTACATGTATGAGTATCGGTATAACATCAAGTGTTGGAATGTATCCTTCGGGGCGGTACAAGGTCTGTCACCACCACTAACGCCAGCACGCTTCAGTGCGTTTTCTGTGAACTGTGCCACCACAGGGTACTTTGGCTTCGAAGATACGCACCAGCATTTTCCCGTATCAAGAGTGTGTTTCGTTATCACCACTCCAGAGGGGTTTTCGAGTGTCTGCGTCCATGCACCAACGTCAATCTATGGTGTGCATTGTCGCGTGAACGTGGTCCAAGGGCCGCAGAAATGATGACAGCACCAACTTTGGGGAAGGGCGACGGTATCCGAAGAACACCATTGAGTAGCCCTTGGAGGCATTCAAAACACACGTCCACCCTGGCACACCCCAGCAACAATGCCCAATTATCGCAGCCGTTTTCAATGAGGTCGACTCGTAACTATGGCCAGCGCACAGTCCATGAACATACATGTACTTCAAGGTACACACAATCTCTGCATAAAAAAACACTACTTCGAAGTACAAAAAAAGCGGATGAGAATGATTCCGTCTTTTCGTAGAGTACCTGGCGTTGACCGTGGTTGACGTGGGACCCACCAGATGACTGAATCGCGTCTGCTTTCCTCTACTGTTTCATATCACAATGGAGTACAAGATGTGAGCCGTGTGTACAATCATGTAGATGTTGCTGCTGGGTGTAAGTGGAGATCGGCGCAAGGAAGTAATGGGACGCGCTGGAATAGGATATCACACAGCGAAGGTAAACAAAGATGTATCCAACTCGGTCAGAGATTCTAGCTGATGGGAGATACAAACTGTGCTGAATTGCTAAATGTTAGCGTCAACGTGCAGCATGGTGGATGCATTACTGCTCTTTCAGTGGTTACCCTCTTTCAGTGGTTACCCTCTTTCAGTGGCTACCCTCTTTCAGTGGTTACCAGATTACGCTTTGTTTCTTCAAAGGCCTTTACATTCGTGCTCTGGCTCTGTTGCCACTTGGGGTATGGGATTTAAACAAGGATGTACATGTAGCAAACTACCTTGGGCAATTTCAAATGCGGCACAGGATATACGAAACCAAGTACTGTACAGGTACAATGAGATGAAGTACATGTACTTCAGTGCAAGAATGTACGGTACCGAATATTGCTTTCTGTCGTGTTGGAACAGTGTAAATCGGTGGTTTTGAATTTTGACATTACACTTATATCCGTCAACATTGTAGTTCTTTCAAATTGATACGTTTTGAAAACAATCCTGATAATAAGGATGCGCCGTTGGTGTAGTGGTATCATGCAAGATTCCCATTCTTGCGACTCGGGTTCGATTCCCGGACGGCGCAGATATTTTTTCCTTCGTTTTTGGCAACTCTCTCTCTCTAGATCTCTAGATCTCTCTCTCTCTCTCTCTCTCTCTTTTCTCTGTCTCCCTTTCATACTGCAGTATGCCCAAGAGTACTCTTGGTATGACTTATTATTATTATTATTCTCGTATCCGTCCCGAATGGGACTCACAACGACAGAATTAACTGTGCGCATGTGTGTGTGTGAGAGTGGGAGAACGAAATGAAAAAGAAAAGAAGGAGAGTCTTGTAATAATAAATAAAGGTCAAATTTAAGAAGAGTAGTACTAGACTTGGTATGACTGTAGGAGTAGTAATATATCAACTACATCCAGTATGCCTGTTACTGTAATAGTTGTATTGAAATGTTGTTTTCGTATTCGCCAGAAGTGAAACAAATGTCCATCACATCCACTCGGGAAATTGTCAATTCTGTACTGACGTATAGTTATCCTCTATGTTTGTCACAATACTTCTTCCAGAGGATGCTATCACCGGAAGGGGGTGCCCATTGAAACGCGGCTCTATTACATCGAAGTCGGGAACCATTGAGCAACCCCCGGGGGGGGGGGGGGGTAGGGGGGGACCAATGTTCTCCAGTCACCCTTGTGTACCTGCCGCCAATGATATCTGTACTCTCTTGTACATGTACCACCATCCTTCAATGCGACGGACCCCACGATAGGCGGTCAGCCTTTGGGTTGTCCTAGTAAACTTATCATAACAACTGGCTGGCCGCAATACAATAGAATTTGAAAACGAAGAGAATGTCAATAGGTATTAGTTTTGGTGTTTATCGGGATGGTTCGGGCCTATTTTGTGCGAGGATAAAAAAAACGAGGTTCATGTTATTGCCCGCTGTACGGTCGTTCAGTTCTGCCACTCTACAGCTTTTCAAGCAGAGAGTGCCAGTTTGGAGAATATTATCCGGCTAAGGCCATTCACCAGCAATACCACAAGGCAGCCTTTGAACCGCATACGATTCCGCCACTGAATTGCCTGTATGAAAGAAATTGAGAACTATTCCCTTTTGGGAAATGCCGATTATATAAAGCAAAGCATTCGTGGCCCCTCACGGTACAGGTATGGAGCCGATATTATAATGTAGTCTAGACAAAATGCGCGCCCATTGCATTCCATCATGCCTGCCACTCAGTATCAAGAGTCGCTTTATGGGCTCAGAATTGTGGGATTCGCTGTTCATTTTGCTTGAATAATTTTATTTACAATGGCATCTCAGGCGGTTTTTGCGATGCATAGCTTTGGCTGACAGCTGCTCACAATGGGAGGCACGACACCTTGGTGCAACGTTTTCGCCGGTCAAAGCTGTGCGTGCTGTGATATTGGTGTGATAAAATGTCGCCTCTACACCTCATGACTATCCCATTGCCTGCATGGGATTATGACATTTTCGTCAACCGGCGATCATTTCTGGCATTCTTGCTTGGCTGTGAGCATCTCCGGAGGCGATTGGAACACACACACACAACAGGTGAGAGTAGGATTACTGAATATGTGACGTGAACTCGCCCCGAGAAGAATGTGTCAGGTTCAAATATCGCCATATCATTCGGAAATTATCGCAGCACTAGATCCACAATAAATTGAATTCTGACACGTGCCGAAACAGATCATTACCGTATTGGAGGCGTGTTGTATCGTTGTGGATCGGTTTGTCGCGACTATGGAATATTCTGCCGACGGTCGACCATCTAAGCATTATACTGTGCAATGCGTCTACATCGATCAGGATAGTCTACTTTGCATGCAGGTAGGATCTGGGTAGGTAAGATTAATTTTACATACATGTGCATGTAGATCCAATTGAGTTGATCGTATTATTCTCTTCCGTCTACGCACCTACGTGTGTGCAACAAATCATTGATGGAAATGCCAGTGCCCCTGGTTGTGTTGGTGCCGTTTAAATGCTTCGCAGATTTTCGCTTTGAGTCTCCGCGTGCAATGGTTTAACCTGTGACAATGTGCTCGTGTGTCTGCGTGTCTGCTCGAATTGGACCGCATTGGTGCAAGTCACAGGTTGTCATGTGGTTGCCTCAACACACGGCCGAGGTCTGGCCCATGACATTTCGTGAGATCTTCCTAAAAGGAATACAATACGACAAGCGCCAAGGCACGATTTGGCTTGGGCGAGAGAGTTTTGGAAATCGCTCCGTGTTGTCCCGGGCAATTCGTGCCCAAACCAAGAGGCAATGCGTGTGAGCCAGTTCTGTGGTCTCGATCGGGCTAGCAGTAGCAAGTACTAGTACTAGTAGTACTCTGCTGACTTGTTGCTAAAGACGACGTATTGCGGTCCCACTGTTTTGGTCAGGTCCGACCATGCTGTCCACGGCAAAGTCGTGTGTGTGTGTGTGTGTGTGTGTGTGTGTGTGTGTGTGTGTGTGTGTGTGTTTGGAAACGCCTGAGGAGTCATCGCCCATGGCGCACGTGGTAGTCTAGTTGGACGCATCGTCCTGAGTCGAAGACTGCATTAGTGATCGCGACGTGCAGGTAGCAGCCCGTGTACGTAAGTCGTCGTAGCCCACTACAGGTAGTAATAATACTACCCAGTGACTCTTACCCAAGTAAGGGAACCAACCATCAAACTCAGGACAGTAGTAGGATGTGGTGATTCTGGCACATCACGTGGCCCAACGGCTAGTAAGCACTACACCACAAACCGTAAAGGCTTGAATGTTGCTGTCACGTGTCCAACCAGATACATTACTAATCCTAGTACTTGCACTGTTGTTTATGTTCCCGTTTGCTCCGAACTTGCCGGAAATTTAAGCTCTATTTGTAGTGTATTTCGCACTTGGAATCTCGCTAGATTTAGCAGGTTTCAGTGTCAATAATTCGCCAGTATTCTCTCTATTGACTTCATCGTTTCATGCAGCAGGCCCATTCCTTTTTAGCAAGTGTCCATTTCCAGTGCAGTCCTGCCTTTTTGTTTATCATTCGGATTCACAAGCTGGCAGGTATCATGAATCGTGGCTGCCTTCAGGCTCTTGTCCTTTCAGACCTGTCCAAAGCTAACCGCAATCCAGGCTTTGGTCGCAGTCTAGCTAATATTGCCTACTACTGGATTTAACAAGGGATTGACAAAGGTTTGCAGTGTCATGCTGGTCATACTCGAGTCATAATAACAGAAGACGGTGACATCGGACGTATGGACTGGCGACCCCCTAACCCTGCGTCTTGCCTCGACAGAGCGCATTATGAAGCGCTCGACTCTCGTGGGACATGGGCGCGTTGAGTTGTCAATGCGAAGCGACCGTCTCGTGATGGCCTGCGACATTGAGACTTAGGGCCTGGCCCGGTCCAGGTAAATACTAATACTAGCACTAGTAAATACTGAAGGCAGTGAAGGCTCCTGGGAACGACGTACACTGGCACAATCACACTCACTCGCGACCCAAACTCGCACTCCTGTTAGCGCACATACATAATACACACACGCCTAGACACGAGCAAGCGAGCAAACAGTACGGGGTGTCCTGCGCACTGCGTAGCCCTCTCTCTTTCAGCCTGAGCTTCAGACAACCAACACAATGAAACACTGAGGTGTACACGATGCGCTTGCACCTACACCCAAAACCTTCCCATGATTACAAAGAGACCAACAGCCGATAGATGCATGCTTGAAAGCATATCAAAATCTAAAGGTAAGGTTGGTCAAGGGGAAGTAATTCCAGACTACAGCATTCTCATCTTTCCTGGTAGACCAGAGAAAAGGAATTGTGGCATTGAAACGTTTCTGGAATCCTGTGACAGAAGTGGTGATAGATCAAGAAAATAAAGTGTTTTATACGTCGAATAGTCGCAGCGGTAGTATCATCACTCCATAGTGTGTCGTTGAAGCAGAACAGTGTCGAGCAACGTTCTGCTTGATCGGGCACAGGTGGCGACGTGGACGAACTGTTGATAAGCGCGTCACTCAGGTCTGAGAAAGCCGGTCTTCAGTGCAGCAAGACCAACAACACTGATCTACCAAAGACCAGAGTGACACCTAGTACACACAGACGGCCTACAAGTATGCGACACCCGCATGAATGTGAAGGCACAACGGTGGAGAGATGACCAGGTTCGCAGAAGCCACGAGCAGGAGGAGGACAACGGCGATACTAGCGCCTTCAGACAATCAGCTGTCTGCTCACAACGACATGACATGAAAACCGAGCAAAGCAGAAAGGATCGAGATGCTGCGGCCGGTCCTGTCGCTGCTGCTGCTGCTGCGTTGGCGAGCAAATCCGGTGAGAACAGCGGTGACTTAAAGGCACAGGCAGCGGTGGCGGAGGACAGCGACTCGGATGAGACTATCAATAGCCTGGAGTTTCGTTACGGCGTCGTGGACTGCGGCGAAGTCCCCGTGTTCCCCGACGAATGGTCGACAATACCGTACCGGTCCTGGATGGATAACAGCGAATTTTCGCCACTGCCAAGCGAGTCACAGGTGCGAAGTCCTCCCATACTAGGTGCGTGCGATTCACACGGTGCTGCTGCAGAAGATGATGGGGCCACATGTGGACATTCGACGGGAAGTGGCATTACGGCAGATAAGTGTGAAACCTGTCTCGGCATCCATACTAGTGAGGACGACGGTGGGAGTGTGCAGAGAATGGATGTCCCTATGCCACTAACAAAACCACTCGAGACGTGCACCCTCCGAGCAGCTCAACGTCAAGCTGAAAGCAAAGATCAGGGTAGGCCCGGCGAGTCGCTGTCAACGTCAGGCACCCCGGTTCGCTCAGTCAAGCTTGAAACCCTCTGTGATGACCAACAGAATCTGCCCATACTTCTCGGGGTAAGGCATGGGAGGGGACGAATAGGGTGTTGTGGAAACGCGACCCATCACTCACACACAACATAATCTCCACTCAGCGTGTACATAATTGTACATGATTGTACAACATCACACCTTGTGTATGGGGGTGCATTCTCCTAATGTAACTAGCATATTTGGTACCCGTGCGTTTCTAAAAGAGTTGATACGATAATCCCATTGCCGTAACGCTATAGGGTATGTGATAGTTACAGGCTTAATAACATCACGCGGTCACCGCTCTGTTCCTCTCTAGCACATTGGTTACACTAGCCTTTGGCAGCGCTGAGGTACACGGGGTCCATGCCATCATCGCAGCGAGGCCATGGGGTCTTCCTCTCGTCCGTTTCTCAGTTTGTCAACATTCGTCGAACACAGCCGGCTACATGTGTACTTGTGAACAAGTTACGATCGTCTGTTTCCGACGCCGCTGATGCAGTGTGGCCCGCAGAGCCGCTCTGCTCAGCTGCCTGCGAGAATGGTGGCTTGCTTGGCCAGCATGGAGCAAGCAGCACCTGCTTCAGTTCGTACAAACGAACCCCTTCCTGGCGCCTAAGAGATGGAGCGATACGCAGGCTTTGCTTTCTTACTGCACCCAGTTTGTCCACTCCTTTCGACATTTTCCCCAGCACCAGATAGAAGTGTGCACTCACCGTGAGAACTAGGTAGTCTAGGTACAGTCTAAGCTGACTAACCCTCTCCTACTGGCACAATCCCTTCAATATACCGTCCACTTGCATGCATGCTCTGCGGTTATTGTGCGCCGAACTGGCTGATGGCCTTGCACCATTTCGCACACTTGGCCACCTTATTCAAGAATGCCAGGACATCATGATATCTGTAGCAGAGGAGGGGAGATGTTTTTAACACTTGAGATGTGGCTTGCTGCGCTCCAGACACACCAGTCCCCAGTTTGATCCAGCTAGAGGCGAGATCTCAGTTCACCCTTTCACTGGATTGCTGAAGACCTAGCTAGTGAGGTGAGACAAGGTGATGGTGAGCGCGTGTTCCAGTGTGAAGTGAGGACATTGGCGATGGTGTGCTGCCTGCTCGGAGCTCAGAGACCACTGCTAGCGAAGCACCATCAGACCGTAAGTCCTGTCGGGTCGTTGGACCGAGTGGATACCATTCAACAAGCCAAGAAAACATTGATTAGTGTCGATGATAGTGCTGGTAAACACTCCACATGGAGTCTTTTGCTGCCAAATCCAATTGCAAACGCTGAGAATGATAATGAATGCTGAGATGAGTGTTTAACTTAATGACGCGAAATTGAGTCATGCGATTATTGCTAAGTTATGATCCTAGGGGACGGATTCGTACGCTTCATAGGCACCCGTGTATGTAGTTGTATATCTTGTTCGATAATACTACGATCATGTAGTACACTATAGAGTAATATGGCACTTGTGCGTACAACCTAGACCTGAGAAAGTGAATGCATAATTATTATGTAGCATGCATGCTTGACCATCCAACTCGAACAATGCAACTTCCCGTGGAGTAGTAACCATTTTCTCTTCTCGTATTCATGCCATGAGTGGTCCGAAGATGTACACGCAGAACATAATTGCTGCAATGAAATTGCTGTGGATGGACGAGCTTTTGTTCCCCCATCATCCGTTCCCGTCAACAACCTCACCTGAATTACTTACTGAAGCAGCATAGCAGCTGAAGGATCAACATTGAGTAGATCGATGGTTCTACTACCAGATTACCATTGTCCTCTCAATGCCCCCTAAAACATGGCTCCGCTACATGCGCTCTGTAACAAGCCAGTTTTTAAGCGCAAGTTTCCGACAAGATCGAACACTTATGTTTGCGTGGCGTAGAGCTACGACTCGGCTGGGAGTGTACAAAATTTGGTAGACCGATCTGTTGCCTGCTGAACGGTTTCGTGTCTGCATACCGGTGACTAGCAGATAACATCTTCCATTTCCTATCCATCAAGGATTGCGTTTCAAGCACAGAAGGAAATGAGAACGCAGCCCATTGGAAACATGCCCGAACTCATGATTGCCTTCGCGCTGCGTATAGTCATGGCCTGGATGTTTCAATAATTGCTGCAAGGCGACGCCAGGACGACTCAGTCTAAACACTGTGCTCTCCGGAGTCACTAGACGCTCTTCAGTTCAACTTTGTTTCGTCATGGCGTGATGGTGTAGAAACTGTTCGAAATCGTGGCACATCGCAAGCATTCCCAGCCCATCCAAAGGCGATACTTCGAACGTTCCATGGCTAGAAACGAAATGAAGATGTCGACTTCAACTGGCGTTTCTTCGGAAGCCCTCGAGACTATGACAGTTAATTTCAGTAAGGAAATAACATACCAGCACCGCTACCATTGCCCTTTGCCGCGCGCTAGTGAAATTGTCTAGAGCCGAGCTAAGCTGAGCTGAGATTGAGAAGATGTAGATCTACCAATGTACCAGGCGTGCATCAGGAGCTTCGAGACTTGTGCAGCACTTTCTTGGCCCAATAAATAATAAGCATCTTCTCGACTGGCTACTTAGAACCTATCAGAAGATGCGTGCGTGCACGACACTCGCCCAGCACAGCAAAGAAAAAAGAAAACGTCTATTCATATCTACCGTTTGGGTCAAAGTTCAGAGGCACTTCAGCACAGCTCCTGATCCTACGAAGCCCGCACAGGGCGAATGGTCTGGGCCATGGGATTCTGCGTATGCAGTCTACCAACTAAGTGTTGGCTAGTCTGATGTTGACGCTGGGAGTTCACGGCAGTCTCTACGCGCACAGTGCAGGGTATAATTTACACTCAATTGGTGACTACTAAATCCTGTCAACGCTCTGCTGAAAGTGTCACCCGGAGCGTTACGACGTAAGAATGATGCGGGGCATGCTAAGGATTATCTCGAGCTACATGTACATGTACATGTGTATTTCACGTAATTGTTGTCACACTGCACTGACTTATTTATGCCTCAATCAATCATGATGCTGGTACATAACCGAGGCAAATTTCTGTAACGACATTCAGTATGATTTGTGGATATAGCTGTGGCCATTCGGAATTTTCTGGCAAATAATTAATGGTGTTCGCTTCCACCCTGGCTGAATGCATTCAATATGGCCGTTTGCGTGTACGCATCGGGAAGCGCCATTCGGGAGCGGAGTTCACCTTCAACCCCCGTGTGGGTACATTGCAGAGCTCTGGTGTCCTGATGTAAGCTTCTTCTACGCGTCATTAGTCAACTACAGCTGTATTGACGTATTTCATGCGCTAGTGAAGACGAATACCGATTCACAACTTCATGTTTCTGTAGTCCGATGATTGTTTCTCGCCTTCAGACGCTTTAAAGAGCTTCAAAGCAGGGAGATAGATGACGGTGCAAATCTGCAATACTGTCCAAAACGTTCTTGTCTTTATGCGAGCGTCTGCGGCGCACATCCATTCAGGTTTGAAAGCAAATGTGCTCCGAGAGTGAGTTACATCATGTTGTTTAATAGCTAATCTAACCCAACAAAAGTATTCCCCCCCCCCCCAATTCTTCACCAGCTTTTCACATCTATGCAAAGGTCTACACAGCCAGAGGAGTGAATTGATGTTTCAACATGCGCGAGACTTAGTACTGTGTTTCCGCCTGGTCGCGTTCTAACGTTTCTGAAATTTGAAAGCAATCCTTTCTGTGTATTGGGTAAAAATGCATACTGTGTTTGTCCACCAAGAAGGGCGTAGTGCGCGTGCATCGTATTGTTCTTGTATCTGCCGTTGTGAAGTCGTGCCTTTCGCAAGCCATTGGCAGGCCGAAGTGGTGTAGGAAGAGCGTGGAGAGACCATACATCACCCCCTCAGCGGTGAAATGAATCAATCGTGAGATCTCAGCCTGGCAGGGCGTGATAGCCATAGAATATACTCATTGCCAACTGCGAGCGTGTATTTTAGGCTACGTACTCCGTCATGTGGTGCAGTCTTCGGTGGGGGACTGCACTCACAACAAGGGTGATTAAAATCGCGGTTCGAATTATTTAAAACTCATTCCAGTGTTGTCCTGTTGTAGATGTCAGTATGCGGAGACTTTCAGCTTGTAGCAGGATTGTTCTCATCTGTAGATCTGACCTGGACAGTGCTCTTCTGTCCGCGATGGTATGGTGTTTTTTCAGGACATGACCCATCCGCCTGTCCAAGGCACAGCATCAGCGTTCTCACTCGGATCTTCTGCACTACTAGCGCAACAGCCCACCTGCCACGCTTGCCAACAGCGGATCATGGACCCGGACATGCTGACGGACAGCGAAGGTACCTACTGGCACAACAAGTGCCTGAAATGCTGCCGATGCGGAGCCGCCTTCACGGATAACGCAAAGGTCTACACAGCAGAAGGAAGGATTTATTGCGAATATGACTATTACACAAAGTGAGTGTCGTAGCCTTATCCAACCAAGTACAATACATTTCGAATTAATATTTATTGCGAATGTGACTATGTATTACACAATGTGAGTACCCTAGCCCTATCCAATCAAGTACAGTCAAGTACATACATTTCCCATCACGATGGATGCGCACCTAGTGGCAGGGCGCAAAGAGTGCTCAAAATGCCGTGGAGGCAGAGCGTAGAACGTAACGTCGTTCAAACAGTGGACAGGAAGGCTGTGTGGTTGTAACTCTGAGGGTTTTATGCACAACCGTGCAATTATCAAGCAATATGAAAATGGTGCGTATACCCCGTTATCACTCCACAGAGCCTTTCTGTCCACTGTTTGACTGTACATTTCCAATCATAATGTTTGTAAATAAATTCGTTTTATATGTATACATGTAATTATTATAGTCATGCCATGTATTATTGCTGATTGCAACATGCTGCAGTTGACATACGATATTTGGAGAGAGGAAATTAGCGGATTAACCAAAACGCGATTTCCATCTCCCGTCATGCTTGCCTCTCAGGAACCGATGGTATGTGGCGGGGAAAGGTTTGTAGTTGCTTCCGCAGGATATGCCCTCAGTGGCGCGCACAATGGCCTCGAGTTTCTCGCACTTGTACGTCGTTTGAGAGGTGTGAGTAGCCGCCTGTGCGTGCCTGGGTCTCTTTCTCCTTCTCGCTCACGGTGCGCATACCGCCGCTGAGCGCTGGCGATTCCATGCGGCTTATCAGCTATTCATTTCCTGTCCTCGCTTCGTTGAGCATTGCTGACCACCAATGCCAGGTTTGGGCCGGAGCTTTGTAGTTCTACAAATACGCGACGGACACTTTGAGTTCGATTCAGGCCATGTAACATAATTGTTACATCACACGAACAGCCGCAAGCTATACCGACTCCAAGCCCAAGGTTCATCTCTTCAGCGATACACCACTCATCAGTACTAGAAGTAACAACTCATCGAAAACGTCGCTTGCGTCCTCAGCCAAGAACAAGAAGCGTACACAATGAGTAGACAGGGGTCTACTCACTTTTGGCTCGTCGAGGGCAAGCTCCTACGGGTGAAGAGCTCCACTACAGATTCAATCATTATCTACAGCTGGCTCCGATAGGCGATACTACACAGAAAAGGACGTCCTCATGACTGTGCACGTTTGAATCTCGCTGAAAAAAATTGTGCGGCCAATAGGTAAAGCCGTAGAAAAATCTAGTTCTGAATCTCAGGCTGCTTCTTTCGCGCAGAGAAATGTCCTTTTTTAGTATTCAAATGCCTAAGTTGGATCCGCACGCGATGGGAAGACGGAAGAAGGTTTCTCCGACGGAAGGCTAAATTCAAGATGTGGAGGAAAATGTCCCCTTCACCGTGTGATCCTTGCCCTGATCGTCCCATTGTTCCCGCGACAACCGTACAGCGAATACATACATTGTACTTTCTTCAAGTTATGTATTCTGTGCCTGAAGCTCCAGCCAGCGCCAGAGAGCGGTCTGTGCTACTGATCGCCAGCGAGAACCTAGCGGTCGCACACTTCTGCCCGAGCTACGTCGCCGACCCATAAACGGTAAAGCCTACATCTCGGCAGCAGCTCGACACACACTCGCGCCTTACTGCCACTCCACTCCTCGCTCGGGTTCCTGCGCTGTGAGAGGAAGAGAACGACCAATACAAGAATGTTAGGTGCTGGCAGTATTCACAGGAGGCATGCCTCCGCCGATTGGGGACCATCATTCTGGCGCGATGAATGGGAACTGCAATGGCCGTCACGATGCTCGTGCGCAGCCTCCGGAACCGCTTCATTCAGGACTCAGACGAGTGTCCTGTAAAACGGTCGCAACTGTGCGCCTAGCGCCTGCGAGTTGAGAGTGCCAGCACAATCAGTCATGTTACCCGACGATCGCCGTATTTGGCGTGATCTTGCGCGGTGGAGGTGCCAGGACAATGGAAGGGTTTGAATAGGTTGAAGGCTGCGCCCTGCAAATGCTCTGATGGGAGTCGCAAGTACAGTGTCTCGCTTGGACAGCCCTGTTTCAAACAGTCTCCAAGATAAAGAAGAACCCATTGGAGTCCTTATCATTCACTTCATCTAGGCTAGTCCATCTAGGGTAAGTTACCTCTTGGCTTTGTTCAAGGGAGAACACACAAACAGTCGAGCTCCGCGTTATGTGCCCGCGTCGGGAATCTCTCGCATGTAGTCAGGACATTGTCACGTGTACTTGGCATAGCCTGACATTTTGAATGTGGGGCTCAGTTCCCTTTCCCAGTCGCGCTGGTGCTGACAAGAATGTGCCATGCCATGATGGCCTGTGCACTGACGCGTGACAAGGATCTGTTTCAATCTGTTTCAAGGTGGCCAGCTAGTGAAAACAATAATTGCAAGTGCCATTGCTAATGCTAGGATCCAGGAACAGTCATGCTATCAATTGGCAATTGAACTGTATTGGTTTAGTTGCAACCAAAACGTGTACTTCAAAGTACACTACTGAAGGTCTTGTACACAATTCTGTATCTTGGCACCATGACTGCATGAGCACAAGCATAGATTTGGGAAAGAAATCCCATAGAGGGGAATACACACAACAGGGAAAAATCCTACAGATTATTCCTTTACATGAACAGGTACAATCTGGATGCCGGTTGAAAGAATGTTAGATAGGGCTAAAGATCTTGTGCAAATTTAAACTAGTTTTACTAAGGAGACAACACGTACACAGCAAGAGAAAAATGATGTCTTCCTTCTTCCCTTTTCTTTGTTTCTTTCTCTTCCGTCTTGCCGAGAGGTTGGCTATCACTCATCTCTCGCACTTTGTGTGCCAATTGTTCATAGACCAAGACTTGAGTGAAATGAAAAAATTGAATGTCTGAAAATGCCCCATTTCTTAACTAAACTACCCACTAATTGATAAAAGAGTACCTCAAAGGAGAATTTGAATGCAATACAATCATAGTAACAGAATGCACGGTTAGCTCCTACTACAGCATAACAGGGGTGTTGGAATCGGTACGGCATGTGCCGCCAAAGCCGCACCGACAATTTTGTGTTGGGATTTTTGAAGAAGTGGGATATGGGCTATTTGGGTCGAATTTCACTGGACATTTCCCCGGGAAGGACCCCTCGACCTCCACCCATTCATGCCTGCAACAATGCCGAATGCCTTCCGACGCCCCAGCAAAAGTAATGAATCCCTGCCCCTGGTCCACAATGCACCATTGCGCACATCATAGCAATGCTCAATGCTTGTAAAATGTGTTTGCTACCTTGCGTCTGCAGCCGACCCATTGCCAATCACACACGCTGCTACAAGTGCTACGGCGTACTACTGCACGGCGAGCCCGTCCAGGAGGCAGAGTACGACCGTCAGTGGGTGTTCATGCACGAGCGGTGCTTCGTGTGCGACGTGTGCGCCAGGCCACTCCGCTCCGGCACCAACTACATTTTCTACCAGCGGTGGATGGTGTGCGACAATCACTTCAACTCGCACGACCATTCCTACTTCATGCACGAGCATGTGCGCACCATGCTGGACCACTGCGTGGCTACGGGCACGCAGCCTCACCAGCTCTCGCCACCGTACAACCAGGGACCGTACGACCCAGCGGCGACGGCGGCGGCCGTGGACCCGAGCGCTGGCAGCATAGAGCACTACAGGCGCGTCCCGTCGACGACGTCCGACGTGTTTGAGCAGATGCCTGAGCTGGCGTCGACGGGATATGCAGCGCCTGTACATGCGACGCGTAAGTCCCGACATGGAATGTTTTCACTTTTCATAGGGTCAACTGGCACATGACATGTGTTAACAGTATGTCGAATTACAACTGTTCTATTTTTTTAGGAGCTGTATACTGAACTGTATTTCAGGACTACCCAAAGGCTATCATTGCATCTTTTTCTGATCATCGCGGCAAGAGGAGTTACTCTTGTTTGGAAATGTGATACCACTCTGTGCGTATCCCGTGAAGAGCTCCAAGTATTTCCCGGTACAAGTATGCACAGGTGTCGGGGATGTGTAGAATGAAAAAAACGGTTGCAGTACTGTAAACCCTGTCCTGACCAGACGCCCTTGGTGCAGCAAAGCCTGTCCTGATATGACAGGATTCCATTTGATCCAGAAATGCACGTCCGCTCCACAGCACTTTGGTGCATGAAGATCTGTCCGGTCGATACAGGATTCCGCTTGGTACAGTGTCTGGCAAACACAGGTTTTACTGTACAAACCGGGCCTATTATGCAAGTCCTGACCGGGACTGTTTTGAAAATATTGTAATAGAGATTCGGTAACATGGCATGGTCTGTTGGTCTTCTCTGCCCTTTTCAGCTACGCACATGCCACACCTGCAAGCCTCACCTACTTCCGACATGTACAGATACCACCCATACACACCCGACGTACCGCCATACTGGGTCCAGCAAGGCATGCATCCAGGTGAGTTGTTTGCAGTTGTTTGCACAATATTGCGTAATGATCTTTGTGAATGGTGAGCTGGAGAAAATTCCCCGGCTAAACGTGCAAACCAAGACCGCTTTCATACAGCTAGAAGGATATGGTAAAGTGCTGGCTTGTGAAATTCGAACTGATGAGTAAAGGGGCAACACACTTGAATGCACGGAATGGTACACATAGTGGCCATTAATTTTTCACAACAATTTCTTGCCTTTTGTTTAACTTCCACTCGCGCACACTCATTGCTCATACACATCTGAACATTCTCAAGGCTCTTTGTGATCTTTTTTCATAATGTTCCATATCCGTGCATTGTGTTCGTGCCAGGTTCAATGATGGGCATAGGCGGTCGACCGGTTACAACGAAGGCCAGAAGAAGTCGGACCAGCTTCACAGACGAACAGCATCGCATACTGACGGAACGGTTCGAAGAGGATCAAACGCCGGACAGCAGCGACCTGGAACGGATAGGACGCGAATGCGAGCTACCGAAGCGTACAGTACAGGTGAGAGGCCACTATCACTGTAAGCCATGCATAGCCCATTGCACTGTCTATTGTTAGACTCAGGTGGAGAGCCAAGGATTACTTTATAAGACCGTTGGTCATTGGTGTGCAATGTTATCGCATCAGCTGATTGTAAAGTAACTGGTGGTGTTAGGGGACATTATAGCGTAACCTGTAGTTCCTTGGTCCTCTTTTCCTCTTATAAAGTGTATATTGTGCGGATAATTCTCTTCAGATGCTGATGCTGGGAAAGTGTCCAGGAAGCTGCTGTTTTGTTATTGTATACTCTGTTGTCTTCTCCCCTTCCGACGAGTAGGTTGTGTACTTAGTAAAAAAAAATAAAGCTGTTTTGCTTCCTTGCAGCAGTGGTTTATTTGAAGATAACATTGCCGAGTACTTTAAAGCATCATGGGCTTGGAAGCTACAAGTAGGTGGATTGGGAAATCTCAGCAAGATGTGGGAACAGCAAGGGAGATAGCAACTCCAACAGATACATGAACAATGACAGAGAGAGGTTCATTTTTGAACAGGAACAGTGACTGAGGTGCAATCCCTCGCCATTTGTGCCACCGAAATTCTGCTGAAGTACTAAGGTTGCTGGATTAACAGGTCATACTGCTGGTTTGGGCAGAAACGAGACAGTTCTTTCAGTTGCTGAAATGTATGCCAATTTATTGATGATTGAAGAGAGATTGTTTTGGATGGTCAGAATCCCTTTGGACACGACCTGCAGCTTCGTATCGGAACTAAAATGTGCTTTGGGCAAGCTACCTAGATCCGCACTGCAATTCGGTCTTAGCATCAAACTTTTTGGTCTGCAGTGTTCGGGTATAGACTGTCACCAGGAATTTCCTGGTCATGAGCAGCACGAATTCGAGTTGTGGTGGTTTGCCGACAACATATTTCCTTTGGATGTTCAGAGCACAAAGCACAAAGGAGGTAATCATTGAAAATGGTTTGTCAGCTTACTCAGTGGTTATGGACATGCCTGTCTTGAACATGCTTTTTTCTTGTTGATGCTCAGATATGGTTCCAAAACGCACGTGCACGCAGCAAAAAGACGCCGCAGACTAGCAGTATAAAAAAGACGACGTCCGAAACGGATAAGTCAGCAAAATCGAGCACAGTATTCTCTGCCTCACCGGAAACCACACCGAGCACGATATCGACAACAGAGAGCATCCCGTCGGAACATGGCACCCACACGTCTGAAGTACAGCACACCAGGTCCCACACCGGACGACCTGCCGGTGAGGGTGCTGCTACGAAGGGGAGTCGCACACCCCTGTCGAGTGTGGCTCGGTTAGAATCGGACACGACGCCGATGTCAGCCGAGCGCAGCCCTCTCGGAGCTAGCCATGCCACTGCCTCGCAAGCTGCAGACTGGAAGCCGGTCAGTCATGCAGGAACAGGGTTCGAACAGATTGACTATTTCAACAGTCCGCCGTTCCTTGCACAGGACTTTGGGCTGCTGGACGAATCCTCGGAAAGTCGGACCCCATAACTTGACCAAATTATTCTCATTTCAATCAACTCACGAATTCCCTTTAACCCTATTCTAAAATTACTAGAGAGACCACCACAAATGTGCTCTTCTTATTTCCTTTAGCCTTACTGAAATACAGCCAAAGACTGAATTTATGCAGCTCTAATTTTGATGCTCAAATTTTTCAATATTTCCCTACACGAACATTGCATCGGATTTGCCCTTTCCCCCCAGTTTATCCTTGAATTAATCCCTCTAGTCAAATCCGTATCCATAGGTTTCGAATTAATTTTTCTTGATATTCCATCGCATTATCTCTTGCAGCTGCCTAACTTGCATACATATCTTTGGCGGGGCAGTTGTTTGTCGTTTAGGGATTTCCCCCTGAACTACACCAACATAGTTTGTGCATGTGCAAGTTTGTGTGTGCATGTGCAAGTTTGTGTGTGCATGTGCAAGTTTGTGTGTGCATGTGCAAGTTTGTGTGTGCATGTGTGTGTACATGTGTGTGTCTGCCGGGGTGGGCAAGTCGATGTCCGAGAGAGGGGAGAGAGTTTGTGCTCACACTTGCGTGCTGATGTGTGAGAGGAAGAGGGAGCGATACGGTTTGTGTACACACCTTCTCGGTAACTCGTGCATGTGCGTGTGGGCATGAGTTGATTTGAATATGCATGGTTTGCGTACGTGTGCACGAGGCCGTGTGTGCATATGCACATGTAAGATAAAGTGTCCGTGTGTTGGCAGCTGGCCCGCTATATATACAGGCCTGGGCAGAGACCCTGTCGCCTGTCGGTGATCCAGCTACTTTAAACATGGCCTGCATCATCTACACTACTCAACCATGACAAACACAGTCATGCCAAAATGGAGAGCACCTCCATGACAAACACACGCGCGCGCACGCACACACACACACACACACACAGGGGCATCACAGGGCAGTGGGCAGCAGTACGACTGGGGTCCGGGGCCTGTTTCAGTGCTCTTTTATTGCATTTTCGGATGAATTGAGCGGACCATCCTAGACAGAAAGTGGTCGTACCGGTCGTACCACGTGTTATGCCCCTGAGGCACTAAAACGGAAGGTACCCACGAGTACTCGAGCCCTGCACACAAGATCACGCACATTATTATAATGACACATTATTATTTCATACACATTATCACACTGTTTTTACATTTGACTGTGCAACTAGAGGGAGAGATCACTGTTGATTGTGGTGCTGGGGATATAGGCAAAAACTGTTACTGTTAAATTCTTTGCAGAGAAGAGAAACCTGTCACCTATTGTTTTACGAATATTGCATGATTATCTTTCTTCATGTAGCATTTTTTTAATAATTAATTTCTACTGCACTTGAGTATACCATTCATTTGATAGGAAATCGGAGTTATCATGAGTACAATTAGGCATCACCAAAGCCTGGAGCAGCACCGAAAAAGACCAAGACACATGCAATGTCGAGTAGCTGGGGCCAAAATCTATAGCTGGTTGGGCAGGGGGGGGGGGGGGCTCCAGAGGTGAGATTAGATTAGACACCGGTTGCATGACGCGGTGCAACTACAACGGGGGAGCATAAGCAGAGATGGACAAAGAAGGGGCTCAATAGTAGTCTATAACAGGGCCATGCCAGTGACTTTTCCAAGCTAGCAATTTGCCAATACGCCATTCTGAATACGTCAGCATACACACACTGTGGTACAGGGTCACTCACCGTGAAGAATAGCAAGCTGGCCAGTTGTATCAATAGCTTCCCGGAGATTATGGCGATATAGATCGAGGAGTCGGACGTGTTTGCATCACTGGACATGACTGGCTCGCAACACGCACTATTCAGAACACTGGAGATAGGTGAAGACTTGATATAGGGCTGATGTGACGGCTGTACCTACACAGCAGTGGTCTGCGAATGCGGATTGGTCCCGCTTGGACTGCCCGGAAGGAGGTGCGCATCTGACCGCCGGGACGCGTTGTCCACGGCAGAGCCGCTACCCTCTCTGACGACCACTTCCATTTCGGTATCGCCATCGCCGGCACCGCCAGCAGGCGTTGGACTCGGTGTGGAGTCGGCAGCTGAGCAATAACATGAACAGGGGAGAAACGTGGGTGTTTACCTTAGCCTAACGCAAGCACATGCATGGCTACCTGACTTCGTGCATACATACAGAATTGAGAGCACCACCCCCTCCGGCACTTATAATTACAGCATCCCTCCCACCCCAACCCGATACGTGCAGTTTAAAGCCATTTCAGTGTATGCATTTCAGCACGAGTGCGAAGTGTTTACGCTTACGTAACTGAGCGCTCCGATCAACAGAGCAGCGCATTTGAGCAACCTTTAGTGAATACTTTATGCCTGTCTGAATGGAAGATATGGTCATGTATGAAAGTGGGAATTCCTTTGGAATTCGTTTTACAAGTGGTAAATTCTCCGTTTTCAGGCACCATGTATTTGAAGCCCCTTGGAGAGGATGGTTGTGCATCACATACCTAACAATTCCTGTGCTTCTGCTTGGTCGGGCTGGCCGGAATAACGTTCGCCAAAAGCCGAGTGAACCGTCAGTACATTGTCGACGGCATCGGAAACTACAGCCTGAGCAGACTGTGTGCTACCGCTTGATTCAGTGCTAGCACGCCGCTGCGCTAGATAATCTACCGTGTCGTCAATGTCACAGCCAGGCAAGCCGATACTGCTTGCTGGCAGCTTGCTCTTCAAGAAATCCTTGGCTTCCGTTGCAGTCGGTCGCTGGTTGGGACTTCTCAACCAGCATCGGTTCATGAACTCGTGGACATCTGACGAACAGTACTTGGGCCATGGTAGAAGCTTTCCCTCCGCAATCTTGGCCTCCGCCTAGCACAAACGCAAGTATTTCAAACATGTCATCATCATCCTTGCCATTGGCGATCCCCACCTTCGTCAACCCCATTAGGCGATAATGGATAAGTGTAAAAATTCACACGAATCGAATCACAGTTTCCATCCCGTGAAAAGATAAGCAAAGTGTACTTCGATTCCAGCGTCTGTGCGTGAAGTGTGTGGGTACAGTGAGGGCTGCATCCCATCAGCCTTTGCAGTGTCACAGGAAGCGTGAGTTTCGGAAGTCTGAAGAAAAGGTTGAACGGTCTCGGCTGGGTCTCTTGGTACAGACTCATCATTTCGGAATAGTCATCTCTTATCCACCAGAAGTACACAGAGCATAACATGGAATTGTTTCTTATCCATACTCAACTGTGGAGCATTGTTCAACTCAGTATGTATTCCCAGCTTGGGAAATTAAACTTGTTGAAATATTACAAAGTCAGAAGTAGCCAACAGGAAGGTAACATTTGTTTACATCGTGCACAAACCTCTTGCTCCTTCAGACTCGGGTAGGGCTTTTCTCCCTTTTGAAAGATCTCCCACATGGTGACGGCCATCATGTAGATATCCGACTTGCACGTGATTTTGTCTTGTCCAGATACCATCTCTGGTGACATCCAGCGGTACGCACAGTTGAAGCGGAGGAAACCTTTCGGCCTGACAAACAAACACGCAACAGGCATGATGCACAGACCAGCGTCGCCAAACCCAGTGTACAACAATGAAGTCAGCTAATGTACATATACATATCTCGCGTCCTCATCAAGTACTGCTATCCACTCACGCTAACCATGATTGCAAAGCCAAGAAAAAAGATCGTTTTTAACCAACCAGCGCACCATAACTGCGCTCCCCAGCCGACCGCCACACATTGCCACAGCACACCACCAGCAAATCGACACATCCGTTCGTACTGAATTCAGATATCGTGTAGTGGTTGATGATTATTCTGTACAGGGCCGAATGCTGCTGTATATCCTAAATTAGTCAATAAAGTACATCAGACAAAGTATTGGTTGCAGAGTTGATACCAAGTGGGCTTACTTGCGGTATTCCCAATTCAGCTTTTTGATGTGAAGCTCATACATCGAGAGCTTGACCTGAAACTGATTGGTGACAAAGCAGTTGCGACAGCCCAGATCCTTGTGGACAAAATCTGTTTGATGAATGTATTCCACTGCCGAGCAGATGTCGTGCGCAAAGCGCACCAGCGTCTGCTGGGTCATAATGCCTGCAGAGTACCAGTCACACGCAAGAAGTACACACAGAAACCAAGCTAGGGTGCAAGCAAGCCAGCTGGGAATCCAAAGACTGGGATGTGCTGGAGACTGACCAAGAACGCAAGAACGAGCACAGGAATACATAGACAGTTAGTTATCCAGTCTAACACTGCTCTACCTAAAAACACTGATGGAGCAGTCACTAGAATCTATTTTGCTCACATCAAGTAAGTATGAGTACATCAAGAATCCAAACGCAGCAGCAAGCATTACCCATGTAAGCATGATGCCACTGGCCACACGATCATATGAGCCCATGTTTAGAAGGTGCACATGCCCCCCGCGCCCCATGTGGGCTACAAGCTTGAGGTGTAACCTAGTCTGAATACTCACCCGGTCGGTCCTCGGTCGGTAGTGCGGCTCTGGTGCTCATCTCCGACTCGCGCAAGAAGATGTCCAGTCGACCGAGCTTGGGATACTCGAGAACCTGAGCCGGGAAATGCAACCCGGATTCTGCAGTAGGCTGGGAGAACAGAGTAATTCAAAGCGAAAAATGCCTTACCCTACTGAAACAAATAGTCTGCGAGGAGAGAAGAATTCATTGAAAGCTATGAAAACTATTAAAGCCGCATATATCACCACCCTACATGGATGGCAGTTGTTCGAATTTTAGGCGTGACATTTTGCAGAATCCCACTGAAACGTACTGTTGGTTCGAAAAATAATCGTGCTCCTACAAAACAAAGCAATTTCTCCTACACAGATGATAGAGTGCGTGGAACAAAGAAAGCGAGTACAAATTTGTATGGATTGGTCCTTGAGCCAACGCATGGACAGCCTAATGTGGTTCAGACTGATGAGCTCTCCTGATTACTGGCTAGTACACTGAGGTGCTCATAGAACTTGAATTTTACGCATGCATTTTCCTGATTTCTTCGCCAGTGTAAGTTGTATTGCATTTTAATCCATTGTGTTAATAGTCCTTATGCACATTGTACAGATGTACGAAGTTCTGTACTATGGCCGTAGGTGTGTACATACCCGGTTGGGTGTTCATTGTGTGCTATACATGCGCGTTTGACCCATTTAGCCTCACAATTCATGGCAAACGATCACTTTTCAAGCCTTCTTCACTTTGGGATTGAACTAACGACTAGCTAGATCTCTGCCGGAAAAAGATTTCGTATGAAATGCCTTCATGGCCCATTTCATAGTGGAAATAGCAGTAAACACAATAGGGTCCTGCACATTCAACACCCAACCGGGTCTACGGGATTCTACAAGATTATACGGGATTTCGTGCATCTGTACAATGTGCATAAGGCCTATTTTGGGAGAATGAAGTTGAAGACACCACTGCAGCTGTACTTATGGTTGATAAATATGGTGGTAAATGCACACCTGGCAATATGGCGGTAAACACACGCCTGCCCACACACACACTATCGAAGCTACAAAGATCTGGCCCAGAGCTCTCCTTCTCACCACCACCACCACCATCAGTTCGCGCCTGGCGCCTCGTGTTAATTTTGCCCGTATAAGAGGCTGGTACAGACTTGAATTCAAGACGGGTGATTTTTCCCTGTGGCTTAGTGGTAGATGATCTGCACAGGTTGCTTTGGGATGCCTTGTGGGTTGCAGCTGAGAAATCCTTGCAGACTTGTGGAATTGCGCCAGTAGAATTTCCAAGTAAGGTCACCGCGTTAGCCTTAGTTAGAGAAACCGAAGTTGCGATCAAAATAGTACGTAAAGATACCTGGGAGGAAGAGTCGATTCCTTTTGGAACCCTTAACCGCTATTATACGAGTGCAGCTATATACAATTTATAATAATTCATATTATTGTTGAGCACTTACATTAACCATACCATAAAACTTCAGGATGTTTTCGTGGTTGGAGGCGGCAAGGACTCTGGTTTCTTTACAAAAAAGAGCAGCCATTCGATCCATTTCTCCCTCATCTATGCCATTGAACGCTCTCAGTAAGCAGTCATGTTTGCCGGTTTCGCTGTCCAGTTCACAGTATGTGACCTAAGAAGCATTGAACAGGTCAGAAACACAAGAACGACATCAGTTGTAAGGATCACTCACAAATGGCACGTCGCCTGCAAAATAGTTTTTTTCGCAGAGAACGAAACGCGACCAAGTATAGCCAGGCATGTTGTCCGGTTTACCACAGTTGCTATTACACCTAGACCAGAGGAGATGTGTTATTTTTCTGTGAATACTTTTCGCAGGCAGTCAATACAAGCACTGTATTTTCCAGAGTGTAAGCCACAATTTGATTTCTCAAAATTCACCCAAAAAGAAAGCGATGCAGCTTATACTCCGATGATCAAATTACCCGTGATAAATAATAGGGCAGACGTCTGCATTTTGTGGACGAACAAATGGGGGCGACTTGTACTCCAGAAGATACAGTACATGTAACAGTCTCAGAATGCCTGTTGTGATGGCACTGGTTTGAGCTTCTCAGGTCTTCCATGCAGCTACTATCTGATCTTATACATGTTTTGCATATGGCCATAGTGGACAGAATGCTGGAATCAGATGGCTCCTGCCAAACATATTGTCACCGCTGTCCATGCACAGCGCTACGAAGCTCACTGCATCGTCACGTGCGGAAAACAGGCAGCCTGCCTGGGATTTTTCCACATGACACAGTGTTGCGTACTCTACGCTAGGCATGCGCACAGAATACACCACACTCGGTTGAGCTAGTCTACGTGCTTTGTCACATATAATTCCTCCTCAATGTGCTTACATTGTTTGCTCTTTGAAGACGTCTTAATGAAATTAGTAGATTCTAAAGTTCTGCTCAATGAAATCTGATCACATGGGTCAAGTTAGCGTCTGCACCAGATCACAGCCTGGTCTAATCAAGTCCAGGGATGCACTGTTTCGGGCAAATTCTTGACTGCGTCATGTCACAGTGATCGGATGTCATAGAGTGGAACTGCAGTTCCAAACTTGTGACTTCATCCAGTATCATGAGCAGCATTATTCCAGTAGTTCTTGAAGATTACTAACAGCCAAGGCGCTGTAGCTCGTTTGGCCGTACGAACTCACATACACTTAACCTAGGAAAAAAGGGGATATGAGACCACCAGCGTCTAGACACCTGTCCACTATGCTGGGTAGTTAGATGGACATTGCGACATGTGCAGAAATCATTGATGTCGAAACACCCCGATAGTGTCACTGAATACACTGGTGTTGCCACTGAATGCATTCTTGACTGAACTACGACACCAAAATCTTAATTTTATTCCCTGGATGGTAGCCCTCATTCATTACATTGGTTGACACTAGCCCTCATTCATGAAATTGGTTGACACTATGTCAACCATGGATTGAGAAAAATAAAAATAATAAAATAAAATAATTCACGGTTCGGGTGAGACTCGGCCAAGGCCCAGTTTTCCGCATCCGCAGGAACGCCACCACCTTCTTGGATGAAGAATAACAATAGTAATAAAATAAACAAGTGGAGCTCTTCCCGGAGGATAATATACTTACGTCACCGAAATTCGACTGACTATATGAGGAGATCCAGGTGACCAAAGGCGACGGAATGACTGGTACAGTGTCTGAAATCTCAATTGGTCCGGTTCCCTGCGATGCGACACAGAACAAACATAGTATGTCCTGATCAGTGTGTTACCGTAAAGTACCATTGATCCCCCCCCCCCCCCCCCTCTCCCCCCTCCCCACGCCATGTCGCTTCCCAGCTGGTTTTTCCGGCAAGGGGCGGGAATTAGACCAAGCCGTTCAAGTGCAGTACGATGTACAACAACGCAGAAGGTCAGACATGGCATGCTGGATTGTGCACATTTTCATCCTGCACTCGCACGTATTGTGTACAGCAGTACATGCGTCGGTTCAATATCGTAGTTCGTTGTATTAGTCCGCAGGCCAAAGCGGAAAAAAATGCTCCAAAAAAATTTCGTTCCCGCTGATGGGGTACCAAGGTTTGTTGACTCTACGTGATAGAGTGTTCCTTTACGAGCACAATGATGTAGGTTTGGTGTCAGGGGATTTGTCCTTTCGCGTGGAATTGAGGGGGGTTCGACAGCTGTCAAATATGCACAGCTGTCGTGTACGGGGATTCTGAGCAAGCACGGAAACTGCTCAAAACGGATCACGTGATGCACGCCACGCAGAATTTGGAAATTTTGAACTGAGTGATCAGGTGACGGCGAACACATTGTCAAATTTCTGATTGTACGTACAGCCATTTCCTGTTCTTCCTTTCCTTATGTCAAGCAATGATTGCGCGTTGTGTTAGGCCTTTGTCGTCCAGCTCATGGCGTCCTCGCCTGCTTCTTCAGAGTCCCTAAACAAGCGCAGTACTCGCCAGTCCGTTGAAGTTCCTCGTATCGAGCCAGGAAGGAAGAATTGCATATTTTGTGGATCCATCCAGAAAAGAATACCAGGTACCAACAAAAAGCAGAGTACTTCTCAGATTTTGACACTCGAAGCTGAGGAAAGGCTGAGAAAAGCTGCTGCCATACGGAAGGACGAGGGCATTTCGATTGCCATTTCAGCAGTCAGTAGCCTCATTGCAAGAGAGGCATACTATCACAAACAGTGTTACAACGATTTTACAAGAGAGTCATCCCTTGCACGAATCCGTGACAGCACACCAGCTACATCGACCCCAGCTACATCGACCCTAGTCACTAGCTCGTCTGCAGGTAGCGCTGAGCATGACCTGTCAACACCAAGACAAGAGGGAAACATCGAAGACTTTTACCACCTAGTACACCAGCTGCTGTTTGTGGAACGCACTGCTGTTAGCATTTCACGTCTTACGGCAGACTACAACGCGACAGTACATGGAACTGCTAGGAATGACAGAACCAAAGCTTCTATCACAGAACGGTTTGGTGAATCTGTCACTTTTGTGCGCCGTCCGTCCCGGAACAGGGCTGAGCTAGTTTTCGCTAATGCCCATGCCAGTGAGATAATAGCCAGTTTGTATGCCGAGGTGGAAGAGGTGAGGGATTCGGATGGGGTTGATGATGATATTTGGGTGGAGGAGGACAATGCAGCTAACACTTCAGGAGGTGAAGGTGTTGTAGCACAAGATCGCCTGCGTATTGTATATCACGCCGCACGTCTTTTACGGACTGCGTGCCAGGAGACAAAGGCCCAAGAGTCAAGCGGGGAAATCCCAACAGTTGCTGAAGCAAACGCATGCTTACCCAGCCTACTCCACAACTTTCTGGCTTGGGTAGTGACTGACCAGCATCATGATGACATCGGTCAGGACAAAGTTGATTTGGATGAGCAGCTGCAACGTCACGTCTCCTCCATTGGCCAGGATCTGCTGTATATTACATCAGGACTGCCGTGCCCCAAACATGTTGTTCTGGGACTGACCCTACATCACCTCTACCGGAGCAAGAAGCTGCTGAAAATGCTTAACCGGTTTGGGCACACCATTGCCTACTCCCAGGTTTTGGAAAGGGAGACTGCTATGGCAGAGCGGCGAGTGCGAGACGGGCACATAGTGGATGCGTTACCGGGTGGCATTGACCCCCACCGGCCATTCTACCATGTAGCAGATAATAACGACTTAAACGAGGAGACTCTGGACGGGAAAGGGACCGCACACTGCACCAACACCGTTGTTGTCCAGCCCCGTGCTTCATCTGTAAGCCGCCCTGACAGTGATGAGCTTGGCCCAGAACTCTGCCAAGCACTGCCAGGCTTCCACGCCTTCACTGGGTGTGATAGCACAAGTGCTTTTGCATACCGCGGGAAGAAGGCTGCATTGAAGATTCTGCAAAGCACCGGTCCGGTTGGGTCTACATCTCGGCAAGCATTCACCTCCCTGGGGAAAGGCTTCGAACCACAGACAGCTGATGTGCTCATCAACCTTGAGACATTTGTGTGCTCCTATTACAAAGTCTCTGGTTGTAGCAGCGTCAACGATGCAAGGTATGAGCTGTTCTGCACAAAGACCTTGCAGTCAAACCAGCTTCCACCATGCAAAGATGCCTTCCTGAAGCATGCCGCGAGAGCTAACTACCAAGCTGCCATTTGGCGCCAGTGCATTGTGGCCCAGCCTGCGATACCAGCACCACAAGATAATGGCCAAGGTGAGTGAGCTGACTGTAGCATATAATGCAGTTGTAGAGGAGGACTGCAGTATGAAAATGATGGATATTCTCTGAACAAGACATGTTCGTTGATGTTGCTACTTATACAATAGAGTGAATCAGCTGTGTTATCAACACAATCATGCATGAAGTAAGTGACTGTTGTAGTGTAAGAAGCTTTTCTGATATATGGAGTAAATAATTTGCATTCCTCCAACTGTTTGTTCTCCCCATTACAGGTTGGTGTCTTGACCAGAACGGTGATCTAGCTGTGGACTGGCTTAGTATACCACCCGCTCCCCACTCTGTCCTCGAGTTTCTCAGCTGTGGCTGTAAGACTGGCTGTGGAGGAGGCAATTGCTCCTGCAGGTGTCACATGCTGGTATGTACAGATGCTTGTAGCTGTCACCATCATATACGTCGACGTCTCTTCACGGGCAGAAATTCGAGAGGGGTGGGGTGGGGGGGGGGGGGGTAATTAGAGCGGGGGGGGGGGGGGGGGGGCGGATCAAAGGTACTTTACGGTAATAACGGCCAACAGCAAAGAAGAACACTCCGAGACCAATGGCCTTGAAGCGGTGCACCTCAATAGTCCTCAGGTCAAGGTTCGTTTTCTGATCCCATCGCATCCGAGAAAGTACCGAGGTATGAGAATGGTTACTAAGTAATTCAAGGTCACTGAGTCGATTCCAACAATGCCTAGCTTGATGCGATGGTGAATTCTATTTTGTTTCTCATCAAATCCGACCTTCCGAGACACCCAAGCTAAATCCCCAATCCCCTGCAAATGATCTATTCCTTGTGGAGTTAGGTCACAACTGTGGTAGGGATTGGCTTGCCTACATGCTACAGGCTTCCAGTCCCCAATTTGTGAAAGCTAGTGAACGAAGTACAATCAACTTCGCTTATAACAACACTCGGTGGGGCATCAGAAAAGTGTCTTTATTCGCGAAGCGTCGTTATACCCGAAGTCTCATTATATGTACAGTCAACTTCGGTTATAACGACACTCGGCGGGGCATCAAAAAAGTGTCCTTATGCGCGAAGTGTCGTTATACCCGAAGTCTCATTATATGTATTACAGTTGGAAGGGACTTTGCTCTGGGCATGGAAATGCTGTCGTTATTCGCGAATTGTCGTTATATCCGAAGTCGTTATTAGCGAAGTTGACTGTATTACAGTTGGATGGGACTTTGCTCTGGGCATGGAAATTCTGTCGTTGTTCGCGAATTGTCGTTATATCCGCAGTCGTTATTAGCGAAGTTGACTGTACTGTCTTTTCCGCAGTGTAAGCCTTACTGTAAACACTAGTATTACACCTCCAAAAGGTTGGTGTGGCCTACATGTACTATGATAGTCAAGTCAACGGTGATAAGTAGGGTCGATGTCAGTATTTCGTAACAAAAAGTCTGGGCGCGGCTTTACCTCCAGCGTGGCTTCTACCCAGAAAGTATACAGTACACCTCAGAGTATGGTAAGTTGGTAATCCGAGTGTGAGAAGACAAAAAACAGTACATTAGAAACCGGGCGTACAGCAAAGCCTGCGGCATTTACTCACCACTGTACTTCTGAAGGACTTGACCGTGTCGTGTTCATATTTCCCAACTGTTCGGCGGAGAGCAGAAAAGCACAGGAAGTAAGGTGGCAACACGCAACGGGAACACCATCAATCGTTACAGTAGCAGACCTAGCTCATCGCCATAGTGCAGGAGAAACAAAACTGTGTATGTCCAACTGTAGGGGAACAAAACTGCAAGAGTCTGCTTATGCAGAAGCAAAAAACTGGCATACCGTACTCCTGCGATTAGTGCCCCTAGGGCACTTTTATTTCAATGTCAGATGGGGCACTAGTCAAGAGGAGGCACTATTCAAGAGAGGGCACTATTTGTTCAATGCTGGTGCATTCACGTCATCCAGCATAAAAATAACAAAAAGGCAAGAAAGAACAGCCGAACGTTTACATGTAAACTGTCACGACTCAACAGAAACGGCAGCAAGAGCTGTGACTTTGATCCTGAAACCACCAGTGCAATGACATGGACAAGATTGGTTACAGGCCCGGGGTGGGGGGCACTATTCAAGACAGGGCTTCATTTTTTCACTGGGTCTTAGAGACTGGAGCGCTATTCGAGATAGGGCACTATTCAAGAGAGGACGCTAATCGCGCGAGTACAGTATGTACATGTATATTCCCTTCTATCAATGCATGTGTAGTATCCCTGCCCCTACACATGCATGTGTAGTATCCCTGCCCCTACACATGCATGTGTAGTATCCCTGCCCCTACACATGCATGTGTAGTATCCCTGCCCCTACACATGCATGTGTAGTATCCCTGCCCCTACACATGTGCTGCACGATCTCTACGGCATCACGGTCCTGCTGCGTTGTGTAGAATTATCACTGGCACTTTGCTTCAGGCGATTGACAATGCCCGTAGCCAATTGTGGTGTTGGCAGGGCAAGTGCCCCATAATTAATACATAAAGCTTGTTAACAGCCTGCCTACTCACACCCATTGCATATAGAGTCCGATGGCTACGTCAACACATTAGTACTTACATGCGATAAAGGTGGCAAGCCGTTCCAAATTCAAAAAGAAAAATATCATGAACAGGATGACAATGCAAAGCAGCACAATGTAAGCAGTCTCGAGGTAACGCGATGGCTTTCCCGGACTGCAGTGACACAAGGACACGGGTTTGAAGGCACACGCAACAGCAAACAGGCGCACGGGCATTCACAACCACGCATGCACATACACACATACACACACACACCCATACACACACACACACACGCCCGCACGCACGCACATACACACACGCATGCACGCACACACATACACACACGCAAGCACGCACACACATGCACACACACACAGAACAATAATCCCAATCAATGCCTTGGAATTTGCAAACTAAAGTGTCACACTCAACTCTCCGAAAACAACTACCGGTGTCATAGTGAAAACACAATGTGTTAATCTGGAAAATATCAACAGAAAAGTTGAACCTTTCGGCAGCAATTACTTAGCTATGCCTTTGTAGAATTATTGATAGGCAAAAAATATGTTGACACGAAAAGAAAAGGACTTACTCCTTTCTGACTGCACATTGGTCTGAAACAAAGAAAGGGACAACACAGCAATCACTTAACTGTAGTTTGGATGAGGTGCAGCATAATGTCTTTACAACTTTAGCAGTAACAGAAAAATTCAAATACCTAGGTATAGAGCAAGTTCACGAGCGGGTAAGAAAGAACATAGAAAAATGAGTAAGGGCTGGTCTATGAACGGGGTGGGGGAAGAGAGGGGGCGCTGCACCAGTTACCCCTTTGGCTAGAACCCTGCTACTGCAGTCTGCACTGTAGGTCTATTGTTCTTCTGTAGTGTGCTAATTGTAAACCAGCCTGATGAACTACCCTATTCTCTAGAGTATAACCCGCACCCCCCCCCCCCCATTTTTTTTGCTACGAAATACATACCGTATATTCTCTATTATAAGCGCCGTGCTTATATTTTTTCAACACCCCTCTACCACTTGCTTAGTGAATATACATCTATCCTATTTACCACTGTTAATTTTTCACCGGAGTAAAAGCCACAACCCCTTTCTTCGGGTGAATTTTGAGTGTCCAAAGTGCGGCTTATACGCCGGAAGATGCGGTACATGCTCAAAAGGCAGTCGGGCAATGGGTTTGTAGGACCTTTTGACACGAAATACAGACATCTACCCTATTTATCACGGTCAATTTGATCACCGGAGTATAAGCCGCACCCCTCTTTTCGGGGGTGAAATTTAAGTGTTCAAAGTGTGGCTTATACTCCGCAACATAAGGTACAAGTCAATGTCGTGGAATTCCGGTAATGAACCCAACTTGCCACTGAGCAGGAACGCTTTTGAAGGCATTCAAGTGCGCAATGTATACATTTTTGTCCGTACATCATCCGAGGAAATGGCCTCCAAGAGAGGCTAGTGAAGACTCAAAAGTGTACAGCAATAGTACTAATTCTACTGGAAATCATTCCTGACGTGAGGAAGAGTACCGTATTTTCCCGCATATAAGTCGCAGCTTTGTACACTAAATTCCAAGGGTAAAAAAGGGATGCGACTTACAATCGAGCAGGATTTACTACTGAAGTCAATATATCTAATCATTATACCTCATTCCCCATATTCACCCACATACAATTGGCCATCTACATAAGTGGTGAATATTGCTGAATATTCACCGCTTATATTCACCACTTATCTTATATTCACCACTTATATTCACCACTTTTCGATACTTACTGTAAGTGTAAAGAGAGCAGTACTCGGTGCTGCGCTTCATTACTCTTCAGTCAGCGCAACGGAGCTGCCAAATGCCCTAGAAAATTTCTACGCTAACTTCAGTAAACAGGACTTTTCTGAGTACAAACGAAATTCCTTGCTTGCCATTGCCGCTGGATCCGCATGTGACCAGGTGCTGAAGAGTCATCAACCAACAGTGAGCATCTTCACAGACGGAGCGTTCCAGCGAGCTAAAAAGGTTTTGGACGCTCAACGTGCCAATGGCCCGATGATTGCGGATCAAGCGGCAAGCCAGGAATTTCATTTGTACTCAGAACAGCCCTGTTCACGGACGTTAGCGTAGAATTTTCCTAGGGCACACAACAGCTCCGAAGCGCTGCCTGAAAACAAAAGAAGTGAGGGTAGAACCGCTTGGCTCGCTGTTTATAAACCGACTCCCGAATTGGTCAAATCTTCACGTGAAACGAAACGCTTCTCTGATTGGTCAATCTTCGCCTGAAACGAAACCTCTCTAATGATTGGCTCCCGCCACAAAGCTGCACGAGCATGTTCTCCATGGTGATTGGCACGAGCGTGTTCTCCAAGGTCGTCACCTCCCATGCCACATGCACCAGTACGTGTACACAATCGATTGAACAAGATTCTGAACACGCCGCCCTCCGATTCATGCAAGAACACGCCAGTCGGTTTACGATACTGAAGCAACAACGACTTACGTAACGTTAGTTCTGCGTACATGTACATGTATGACCAACAGGACTCGTTTGTTGGGTTTTAGGGACGAGAGGGTGAATATGGAGAGGTATAAGTCTAATATTACCTTCAGCCTCGTGAATATGGGCGAATATTCACCAGATATACAAACCTCGGCTTCGCCTCGGTTTGAATACTAGTGAATATCCGCCCATATTCACTCGGCTTCAGGTACAAATGGCTAAAACCTGAAAATGGGGGTGCGACTTATAATCGGGAAAATACGGTAAGTGCACTACTACTGCACTAGATTAGAAAAAAAGCACTGTTTGGCTTTTTGTTTATAAATTTTGGTCAGTCGGCTAATATACTGGTTTTTTCTAGGGGGGTTAGACAAGGGGAAGTAGCCATTTAGGGGTGTGAGCCCGTCTCTCAGCACCGGGAGTTACAGCTCGCTCGACTCTACTGAGTGAAGAGGACCCACACCTTGATCTGGTGAGCTTCGTTATGGGTGATTCTGCAGTCAGATGTGCTACTGCGGGGATCGAACCTGTGCCCTGTCGGGTCGCAGGCAAGTGCAGTACACACAATGTACTACCGAGGAGCCCCATCGGCATTGCATTAGAAAGAAAAAACTGCACCTACATCACGGCCGCAAACCCCACCACTTCAGAACAATTCTAGATATGCCAATGGTATCTTGGCATGTACAGAACTGCTCGAATAAGAACAGTTCAATTTGGGTACACTGGCATATTCGAACCAGCGTGACCATCATAATTATACATAATATGTGCGCATGACAATTGTCACCATAGAACAAGATGAATGATGACGATAACCAATGCTGACATATCTCTATTACTAACACAAACAAACCATTTTTCGCAAACGACATAATTTTGTCAGTTACAAAAAGGCTAGCACCTCAATTTCATGCCCACCTCCGCTAACTTACTGGCTTTGTGCATGGCACAAACAAGCTCAGTACCCGGTAACCAAGCGCACAATGTTCAATAATAACGACAACAAACGTTGACTGTGCTGGCAAGCTCACCTCCATCAGGTTCTGACACTACTAGTTCTGCACAAAGACTGGCGGATACGAGCAAGACCAACACTGCCACGGGAGAGGCCGACATCAACGCCATGCTCCTGCTGAGTCCTTTGCGCACGCATAGAGCGCTCGCATGAACCTCGACCGTTACAACAAGATAGAAGAAGCAATCTCCGACAGCTGCCTTTGGGAGAAGAAGAATATTTATCGACTATGAAACTGTTAGCACAAAACGCCATGCGTATTTCACTATTTCGCAGTGTGAGCTGACAAGTTTTTTGACAAAAATCTTAGCCCGAACTATTTTTAATTTTTAGTGTCACAGTCAGTCAGTGGCAGTGCAGTACAGTACTACAGTACATGTTATGTATACAGTGGGCCATGGTGGCAGTGCAGCTAGTACTACTACTAGTACTAGTAGTAGTAGTGTAGATCTACTCAGTCTAGTTAGTCTGTAGTATTAGTACAGTTGAACATCGATTATCCGCACATCGACTATCCGACCATTCGATTATCCGTAACAGTTTTTGGGTGCACGTGCCGTAGAGTACGCACTGTGCATGCATGTAGTGCAGTGAGCCATTCAAAAAATACGAAAATTTTGAAAAGTAAAAAGGTCGTACATGTAGATCTACATGTATAATTATGTTTCTTATCCGGAACATTTGCCTTATCTGAACACCGCCTGACAGTTGTCTGCCCAGAGGTGGTCGGATAATCGATGTTCACGTCAAAAACTCACCTGCTTGATATGGCGCTTCTGGTCATCGCAGAGCCATGAAATTTTGGCTCGGAGTATAACACATCGTAGTCTCACTGTGACATATGTTTTCTAATCAAAATACCAAGAGAGAAAGTGAATATTGAGTCCGTTCCGGTTTGCAACCTATTTCCTATTTGAAACCGTCGCCTCTACAGGCCAGGCTGGGGCCCGAGCTGTACGCGGAGTTTTGCGGATTACCCGTCACCATGGTCACTATATGTACATCTCGTCCGCCCCAGGAATGCCAGGATACCTGATAAAGGCTGATTCACTCGCATCTTCTGCTACATGTAATGATGTACTGTATCTCGCAATTGTTAGATTGAGAGCAGTGTTAGGTTATATCATGTACTGTATCTGTACTAGTATCAGACTATCAGTGCGAGAAAGAACTTTGAAGAAGGCGAGTTCGACCATACGATAATGTATTGTCGTGATTTCTACCCTGCTTTTCATTGAAAACACTATCTGCATGACGTCCAAACCCTTTGCCATGCAGACCACCAGCACTGATCAGGTGCTTTGTACTAGAACCGTGGTACAATCATGTAGTTATGCACCTACCTCCGAAAGGATGCCAAATTATGCTCCAAATTTTCAACCACCAAATTACATGTATGCCAATAATTATGCCGGCATATTCCGCCGGTGCCTAACAGGTACATACATGTACATGTACATGTATTGGAAGATTTGGTAGATTTTCGGCGATTCTCAAATGAACCCTCCAAAATCAGCGAAAAGCTTAGCGATTTTTGGATATATACAATGTACATGTACATGTAGCTATGAATAGGATGAAGGCCGCAGACATCACGCAACTACGTTACTTGTACGACATTATTATTATTATTATTATTATTTAAAGAGTCGGCGTGGAGAAAGCAATTTTATTAGTGCAATTAGGAGTATAATCGATGCAGACATGGCCAAAACAACAACGAGTTCATGGAATTTTTAAGGATTTTTATGTTATTCAAAATCGATTTTCGTGTTCCGCTCATCAGTGAATAGTATCGGAACTGAGGCGATTTTGAATAACATAAAAATCCTTAAAAATTCCATGAACTCGTTGTTGTTTTGGCCATGTCTGCATCGATTATACTCCTAATTGCATTATTATTATTATTATTTTTTTTTTTAATGGAGTGCAAGCCTCTTTTACGGGCAAAAATTAACACAATGTATTAAAATGCAATACAACATACACTGGAGAAGAAATCAGGAAAATAAAATATGAGCTCAAAAATGGAACGAAAAATAGCAAATAGAATCAAAACTCACGATGGAATCAAACTCACGATGGAATCAAACTCATGATGGAAACTACAAAACCCAATGAGTTGGAAAACCAACCACAGAATTAGATATTGGGAATAGAGTCAGACACAACAACGACCGAAATCAGTACACCAAAAATCTGTCCTACAAAAAACAAAGGAACAAAAAAAACAAGAAAGACGAAGTACAAAGAATCCCCAAAAAAGAGGGGAGAACGGGATGAAAGAGGACCGGAGAGCGGCAAACCCCAGGAGGACTTAGCGTCACGTAGTGGCGGGAATGCGGGCCTCCACAGAAACAGCATCCACATCCGCCGCCAGACCAGGTGCACGGAATGCACGGCGACTCCCACGAACCATCAGGACGGAGTCACGGACAAGGCTGAAAGCCAGGTCCGTCCGCAGCTTTCCCATCACGAGGGGATAAGGCTGCGAGAGCTTGGTGGAGAGCTTCGTTCCGAGCAGCTTCAGGAACCGGGTGGCCTCCTTCGCCAGGGCACCAGCGGAAGACAGGACGATCGGGGTGAACGACGCGTGCTCAACTTCCCGGATCCGGGCACCGTATGCCGACTGCTTCTGACGCTCGTGCCATTGGAACACCTCAGCCAGCGGGCGAGATCGGTACGACTGTGCGTTGGGATAGAACACCCTTACATCAAAAAAGGATCAGTCTGTACCGACCAAAACCCCCTGGCCTTGATGTCCGGTCTGGCGTCGTCCGCAGTGAGCAGGGCAGGACCATGGTCAAACGTGCGGACCGTCGGTAGAGGTTGCAGCGGTGGCTCCAGCTGCACATCCTCAGACACTTGAGAAAGAAGTTGGCCCAGGTAGTTGCGGACATGGTTGTGCCGGTGGATGGGATAGCCGCCCAACCTGCAGATCATTGCGTGGTCGATGGTGAACAGCCGGCCGCATGGACACTCGGTAGGTGAACCGTGGATGGTGAGGCCATACCGAATGCATAGGGCATCAACGAAGGACCGCCGGTCGAGGGAGTATCCATGCTCGCGAACAGGAAGACAGGTCAGCCATGCACCTGTTCCCTTGGCCTGGAGGTGCTCCAGAAGCATTGGTGGTAGGGCCTCTGGACCAGCTGTCTGCAGGACGGTCTTGGTTGTCACAGACTGGGCTTGCTTGGCAGCAGCCTTGGCGGCGCAAATGGCTGCTGGGTCCACGCTGTAGAGGGAGGACTGGTCCGCGATAAGTTGCTGGAGACTGCTCGTGATGGACAGAGATGCTGTCCGCTGTTGCGGGGCAGCCTCAACTGGATTGAGCACTGCAAGGCCACCATGACGCACAGGCAGAGCAAGAAGGCTGCGTAGAGGGGCAGGGACGACTGGCACACCCAATAGAGCTGGCAACAAGACGGAGCGAAGAGAGGACTCGAGAGGCTCGAAGACGTCTGGTGCACAGCTCGACACGCGCATCAGGAATGTCCAGCGGTGACGGTACCCAAAGACCAGTGCGGCATACACGGCTTGGGGCTCGGCCTCGGCCACGTTCGCCAGCTCACGCATCTCAGATGCCCAAGCCTCCACTCGAGCATTGCAAAATGTTGTCTTGAAGGCTTCCGAGCCCAGAGGAGCACCCAGGTAGGGGCGGCCCTCAGTGGTGATGTGGACATCGGTGTCGGCGAATGCAGCGTTGGCAGCATCGAGATGCTCGGGCTTGACAACCAGCCAAGTCTTGGCAGCGTTTGGATAGTAGCCGAATGCTGGGCCAAGTTGACAGATCTGGTCCCACCAGGTGCGAAGGCGCCGCAGCAGGCCAGCGGCTCCCGCGTCATCGGCATACCATAGCTGGATGGTCGAGGCGTCCGGTCGAGCAGCGGACGCACCGACGCCGGCTGGTCTCTCAGGCGATTCGCGGTCATGCACCGTGCCAGCTGGAGAGTCGTCCATAAGGGCGGTGGCGAGGGTAGTGACGAGTGGCGTAATGGCAATAGAGTAGAGGGGCATGGCTAGTGGGCAGCCTTGCGTGGTGCCTTCAGCAGACCAGATGACCGTACCGCTGACGTGGAGAGGTACTGTGCTGCGGTAAAAGTTTTTCGAAATTGTTGCTATTGATGGACATAGTAGGTGGATGTTGTGGAGCATAGCTGCACGGTTCAGGGAGTTGAACGCGTTGGTAGCATCGACCAGGAGTGCTCCCTCTGTGTTGCTGCTGTCAAAGTGGCGACACAGGGCATGTGCAGCGGCCTCCGCCCCACCCTCCTGCCCAGCACAGGTTTGAAGTGCCCCCGCGGCCTCAACAATGTCCTGACGCGTGATGCGGAGGACCACCTTGGCAATGAGGCGACGGAGGGTCTCCCCAATGCCGATCGGGCGCACACCAGGATTCTTATCCAGGGGCACAAGCCTCCCAGCCAGCAGCGGCGCCAAAGCACCCGAGTCGACAGGAGAGGTGGCGAGGCGCTTCGTCAGCATGGCTACAGCGTTGCATAGGCCCGTGGAAGATCTTCCAAATGAACAACACATCCTCCGCCAGGCAACTGCATCCAGCCCAGACACCCCTGCCGCACCAGACAGGGAAAGGGAGGTAGCCCGGACAAATGCAGCATTCACCGGTTCGAACAGCACGGGATGCGTTGGGCGGCACGGACCCTGTAGCAGTACATCGGATGAGGGGCCATCCAAGTCCGGTGATGGGTGTTTGGCTTTCAGAATATCTATGGTGGACTGGCCACCACCGCAGTCAGCCTGCAAGGGAAGGACGCCCCCCCCCCCTGCCTGAGGTGTGCAGGCAACGAATTGCTGCTTTCACTTTGCCCGCGAGCATGAGACGGGTAAAGCCTTTCACCGCTGCGTCATCAGACCGCTGGAGAGGACCAGATGGTAGGTGGTCTTGGATCTGCCGACCCTCGTGGAGCAGGGAAGTGATATCACCATCTTTCCATAGTTGGAGTCGACGCTGCAAGCAGCGGACATGATCAGCAGCCTTTGATGTCCGGAAAGGTTTCTGCAGGATAAGCGGCGGAAACACCATAGCAGCTTTCAGAGCAATGCGTTCCTGAGGTGTGTCAGGGGACAGGAGTTGCAGGAGACGAGCCTGCTCCTCCACGAACGCACAGCCTGCTTTTCCAGATGGTATTGCAAAAATGTTGCGACGCCAGTTGACGACAACTTCTCTCGCGTGCTCCAGGGCTTGCTCAAACTGCGATGATGGGACGGAAGCCCAGGGGAACGGCTGGCAGTTTAGGGCTGGT